AGGACTGGATACAGAGAGTCTGTATCAACAAAAAGGGATGATGACATCTGGGGAGATGGCTCAGCAGTTAAGAGCATGGCCTGCACTTCAAGAAGACCTGGGTTAAATTCCAAACACACACAACCATTTGTAACTCCACTTCCAAGAAACCTGATGCCCTATTCTGGCCTCTATGGGCACGAGGTACACACATGGTGCACAGTCACAGATGCAGATAAAACATCTGTACACATAAAATAAGTAAATGAAAAAAAATAAAAATGATGGAAAAAGGTATATTATTGAAATACGAATCAAAGAAAAACTAGAGTGATCATATTTATAACAGCCGAATTAAAACTTTGAGAAACAAAGGAAAGAATTACTCAGGAGAGTGTCTGACACTACATAAGGATAACAAGGCCAAAAACTCCAATCAACCAACCAACTAACCAACCAACCAAACAAAAAACTATCAGTCCCAAAGGCAGGAGTAGTTGCACATTCCTGTAATCCTAGTGCTAGGAAAGCTGAGGCAGAAGGACTATGAGATCATGTCCTGCTTGAAGGACACAGAGAATGTGAGGCTAGCTGAAGTTACATAGTAAAACCCTATCTAAAAAAAAAATAAAAAAAAACAAAGCAAAACAAAAAACAAAAAACACCACCTCCAGCCCTGCTCCTGAAAGTGTATGTGTTTAATAAGAGACCTTTACAATGTGTGAAGCAGAGCTGGGGAGATGTCTGTCACTGAAGGGCTTACTACACTGAACTATCTCCAGCACCTTGAAAAAAATTCATACTTAAAAAATATTATTTGAGCCGGGCGGTGGTGGTACACGCCTTTAATCCCAGCACTCGGGAGGCAGAGGCAGGCGGATCTTTGTGAGTTCAAGGCCAGCCTGGGCTACCAAGTGAGTTCCAGGAAAGGCGCAAAGCTACATGGAGAAACCCTGTCTCGAAAAACCAAAAAAAAAAAATACATATATATATATATTATTTGAGTCAGTTCTCTACTTCCATTATGCAAGTCTTAGGAACTGAACTCAAGTTATCAGGCTTGGCAACAGGTGCCTATACCCACTGAGCCATTTTACCAGCCCATCCTTGAAAAAAAAAATTTAAATCAATAATCTAAGCTTATTCCTTAAGAAAGTAAAAAGAGAAGACATTAACCCCAAACAAACTGAAGAAGTAATAAATAATAAAAAAGGAAACAAATGAAATTTAAAATAGAAAAACAACATAGACAAATCAGTAAAGAAAGGATGATTATTTTAAAAGCATAAGGGGCTGGAGAGATGGCTCAGAGTTTCAGGACAGCCAGGGCTACACAGAGAAGCCCTAATTCAAAAATGAACAAACAAACAAAAAACAATGTCACATCTCTCATGAGAATAATAGTGACTATTAAAATATTAGCAATTTGGACTTAAGAACATGTAAAAAGAATAATGTACCACAACCAAGTAGGATTCATTTCAGGTACCCAAAGATGGTTCTATATTTAAAATTTAATCAGTAGAATTATACAATTGTTGCTCACTGTAAAAAGAAGCATCTCTGACCAAAACTGAGAGCAGAACTAATTTATGGAGATAAACATAACTATTTAGAAGTCAATTTGACAGACATATCATGTTCATTTAGCAAAATTGCTGCAGTTTACCTTCAAGGCCCATGACATCCCCAGCCATAGGCTTTTGGGTGGGTTAATAATACCACATAATGATGTGTTTTCTTAGACATATACGTGTGTGTTTCAGTTTTAAGTTATTGTAATGGTTTTGTTTTTAAATGTTTCTAGTAGTCATCATCAGCCTGTAGAATTGGGGTTGATTTTTGTTTTTTAACCTTATATCCTGTGATTTGGCTGAGCACCCTTACTAGTCTTGGATTTTTTTCCTTGGTAGAGTCTTTGGAGTTTTCAACATAGTCTAATCATGTCTTCCTTGAACAGAGATACTTTTTTTTTTAGTCACTATGCCTTTTATTTCTGTTTCCTGCATATTTGCACTGGCTCGTTTTCCTAGCCTGTTTAGTAGCAAACATGTAGGCCTTGTGTTTGAATCTATGTTTGGATCATTAAATGTGACATAATCTCTAGAAGTTTAAAAATTTTTTTTTCTTAAATCAAGCCCAGAAAATTTCTTCTTTTTCTATTTTTCTGAGGATTTTTATTATGAAACACACTTGAATTTTTCAAAGCCTTTTCTTTATCTGATGACATAATCATGGGGTCATCCTTCTCTGAGAATTTTTAAATGGTTTCTAGGGGGAGGGGCTAATAAGACCCACTCCTCTCAGGATCTATAGGCAGGTAATGGTTTCTGGTGGGAAGGGAGAGGCATTTTCTTTGTGGGGTAGCCACTGGTAAGGTGTTCATCATGCTGCAGTAAATAACCTCTCACCTACACTCCTGTAAATAACCCTAATGAAACTCTTTGGGTGTCCAAAAAAAAAAAGGACATCAAAACAGGGGAACTCTCTGACAAAAGTAAGAGCATTATGGGGAAGGGGACAAGAGATGACAAAGGAGAGTGAAAATGATCAAAATACATCATATACAGGTATGAAAAGATCATAATCAAATTCATTACAATGTATAATATGTGCTACTAAAACTATAAAAAGAAACATCATTATGGACTGAAACTGTATCCTTCAAAAATTATATATTTAAATCCTAACCCCCAACTTGGTAGGGTTTGGGGGGTGGATTAAGGTGGTCATTAGGGTTAAATGAAGTCAGAAGGGTAGGTTTTTTACTTGATAGGAGTGAGCCCACAGAAGGACAGCAAATGAAATTCCCTGCCCTCATTTTCCTCTAGGGTGTAGACACAAGAAAGGCCATGTAAGGGCAAGCAAAAATGTAGCCACCCACAAGTCAGGAAGACACCTCTATTGGCACCTGATCTTGTACTTCCAGTCTCCAGAGCTGTGAGAAGATAAGTTTATATTGTTTAAGTCACCCAAGAAGAGGTGTTTTGTTTTTGTTTTAATCACTTTTAGTGGTACTGATGACTGAACTATACCTTTATTAAACTGTGGTATCTTCTCATCATGGCCTAGGCAGAACAAAATACATACCTATGCTGTATGCTGAAAACAACAAAACATCAATGAAATAATTAAAGATCCAAATAAATGGAGAGGTATACTGTATTCAGGGATATCAATTCTCCTAAAATGACTTTCAATGTTACTTAATTTCTATCATAGTCCTAGCAAGATATTTTAAAACATATAAGCAAGATTAACCTAAAATCTATGCAGAAAGACAAAAGGAAAGGAATACACATAGCCAAACAATTTTGGCAAGGTAGAATAAAGTTAGAGACTTCACATTATTATAAAGCTTCATTAATGAAGGCACTATAGTACTAATGGAAGACAGATACACAAATCAACGGAAGAATATAGACAAACAACACTTAGAAGAAAACACAGGAACTGGCCTTGGTGCTGCATGTCTGTCATCACAACACTCAAATGCTGAGAAGCAGGAGGATCAAGATTTCTGGCCAGACAGGACAACACAGTCAGTTTCAGGTCAACCTGGGGGGTCTTAGTCAGGGTCTCTATTGCTGTGAAGAGATAACATAAATCATGGCAACTCATAAAGGAGTTGTCATAAACTCATTTAACTGGGGATGGTTTGCAATTTCAGAGGTTTATAGTACGTTATCATAATGGTGCGAATCATGGTTGTGTATAGGCAGACATGATGCTGGAGAAGGAGCTGAGAGTTCTACATTTGTATCTGTAAGCATCAGGAAGAGACTGAGAAACACTAGGCCTGGCTTGGGTTTCTGAGACCTCAAAGCCTGCTCTCAGTGACACACTTCCTCCAAGATGGCCACATTTCCTCCAACAAGGCCACACCTACTCCAAGAGAGCCACATCCCAATAGTACCAGTCCCTTTGAGCCTATGGGGCAATTTTCATTCAAACTACCACACTGGGTTACATATCAAGATCTTAAAAATTAAAAAAAAATTAAGAAGTACAGGTGTAAAACTACACAACATCAGTTTGGGCAATAATTGCTTTGGGATTTGACCCCTAAGGCTCAACAACAAAAATATTAATAGGTAAGTAGGATGAAACAAAAAAAACTTCTGTATTAGGAAAGAAATAGTTAACCAAGTGAATAGGCAAACCTGTGGATTGGGGAAAAATATTTAAAACTATATTTAAATTATTTAAAAGGAGTTATTCTGATAAGGTATTAATAATAAAAAAAATAAGTTATTCAACTCAATAGCAAGCAAACAACTCCACTTGAAAATGAGCAAGTAATCTGAATATATATTTCTAAGATAAAGACACAGGCAAGCATGGTGACATGCACCTGAAAACCAGCACTTGGGAGTCAAAGCTTACATAGCAAGTTCAATGCTAGCCTGGGATACTGTCTGCAAAAGACACATAAATGGCCAATAGATATGTGAAAAAATATTTAATATTATTAATCAGTACAATTTCATATAGTGCCAGAAGGCTCAAAGACAAACTGGAAACTCACAGATAATCTTATCGAGAGAATCTTTTTTTAAAAAAAACTTTATAATGGTGAAAAAAATACATTAAATGGAAACCATACTTTGAATTTTGATCTCTCCTGGGCTAAAGATAAGTGATACTCTAATTTCTCATGATGTGAAGCAGCAGCATTGAGCAACAGCTCCCAGTAAGCAATGTCATTGCTAGGAAACAACCTATACATACCACTGTATACCATGTTCATGTTGCCATGATGTTTAGTGGGATAAGGGTATTAAATGAATTTTCAATTTTGAGTTGACATAACTCCAGGACATAACATCATCATAATTTAAGAAGCATCTGTATCTATTACCTTTAAATACTCAATGCATCAACAATCTAATGACCCTAACTGGCTATTTCTCATTTTCTCTGATTCCAGTAATTTATCGTTTCCTAGTTTGTGGTACTGATTCCTATATAACTCATCACATCTATGATAAAATCTAGAAACAGATAGACAACATACTTACCTGGGGTTTGGCCATTTCCTTCTTTTCTTGGGAAAACGTATATGAAAGTTGAGCTGGAATGAGGAGAGTAGATTATCAGAGTAGACATCATTAGATTTACAGTGCTCAGAATCACCTGCCCAGAAATCCCCTTACATGAGCTGGCCAGAAGGCTACTCTTGGGAAGAGTATGGGCAATTATAAGGTTCTTTATTTTTAAAGACAGGGTTGCTTTATATAGCCCTGGCTGGCCTTGAACTCACAGAGATCTACCTGCCTCTGCATCCTGAGTGCTAGAATTAAAGGGGTTCATCATCATGTTCAGCAGCAATTACAAGTTTTAATAACAGCCTGTATATGTTCATTATGTCATGTGAACTCTGAGCAAAAAGGCATATATATATATATATATATATAATTTTTTTTCCTTGTAGTACTGAGGATAGAACCTAGTCCTAGGGCCTTGTGCACTATACCTAAGCCAGCACTATACCACTGAGATGCACAGAACTGAATTTAATAATGCCAACCTTAAGAAATCTTATCTATATAACTTATAATATTACAATAAGTAGAAATTCGGGATGAAATACTACATAGTTGTTCAAATAACGTATGGAACTGTGCACTTATTATCTACATGTTTTGTGGTACATGAAGCTCAAATCCAAGTTTAATAAATGTTATAGAAAAAAATAACGTAAGTCCAATTAAATTTCTAAATGAAAAAGGTTTATAAAACCACAGGAATACATTTTAAATGTATAAAATAAATGTCAACTATTAAGTGAGACATAGCTCTTGTATGTCTAAGAATGAACATTTGTTTGAGGGATAAAATTAGTCTTGTTTTCTTCCTCTCTATTTTCCAATTAATTTATAACTCAAATGTTACTTATTAGACATTAAAAACTACCTATTATCCGAATGATACCTCAATTCACACACTTTAATGCCTGTCTATCCATCTCAGACCTCAAACTGTTCAAAGCCTGCTAAAGCTCTATAGATGCTTTTTTCTTTTCCCTCACCTCACTGGGGCCTTCTAGTTCAGGCGCTGCAAAGAAGTCTTTAGATGCTGATTCAATCCAGCACCCTTCCCTGCAACTCCAGCGAGGGTTACACTGGCAGACAGAGACGTGGGGCCACACCTAAAGAGGGGAGACCACTGTGCTGGAAAATGTGTAAAAGCCAAAGTTTAATAAGGCTTACTTAATGCTAACTAGCCTCATAACTTTGTCCGCTATTAAGTCTGCAGACCCCGATTCAACTGCTCTCTCAAACCCCGATCATTCCACCTCCCAGTCTCTCAAATCAATGACACTCACGAGCCTCCCTTCATTTATCCCTTAGAATTCCCCACCATTCAGCTCGCGACCCCAGGTGCTAGACCCTCAACCTTACTCAACCAGATTTTCTGCGAGATGTTGAGTAGACCGTTAGTGGAACGGCCCAGAAAAACACTTCCGTCTGGGACCTACTAGCTGTCCCCGCCGCCTAATCTGGGAAGGCGGCTTGTTCTACGCATGCTCAGGGATGCCTTGAGACCACATCCGCCAATAGTCAACATGGCGTTGTGAAGACAGCAGGCCCTACGCAGGCGCAGAGTGTAGCAGGCAGCGTTGGTGACGTAACTGACGAAAAAAATTGTCTGCATCCGCTGTCTCAACTACCCTCCCCCGGCGCCCATAGCAAAGCTGGTGTTTATTTTGCAGAGATCAGCATTTCTAAGACAACAGTCACCTTTGTGTGTGTGTGTG